TCCTTATTCAACCAATGATAACCCTGAATACCAACTGACAGCAGAAATACGAACTTACGCGCACATATTGAGCAAATGACTCATATATGAGGTTAAGCAGATGGACCATAAGCCCCACATGGAACCGAAGCTCATTAGTGTCCTGCCATCTGTCACTCAGTCAGTTCACATCGGGCATTTATTCAGTCAGGAATGTGAACACACCGATCTGTTAGTTTCCCGAACTAAACCAGTTCCGTATGTATGGTAAAGATCACAAACACTCAACCAAGCATAAGGCCGAAGTTGGCCAACGTATAACAGTGATGAGGAAGGATGTCAGACAATGCGGACTCAATAGTAACTTTTGTGCTGAAATGGACATCCAAGTTATTGTTAAATGTGGGGTCGGAAATACAAGTTACTTCATTCAGTTCACATCACTCTTCTCTGTAGTTCTGTTCTGTTTGTGCAAATAAAGTCCAAAGACAACGAAAACAAACGCCTTTAGTAGGTGGAACTCAGAACTCGCTAAACTGGGTATCGGATTATAACTTCTACATAGTAAGTTGAAATGCTGAGGAAGGATGTGGTAAAAACCAAAAAATCGCAGCTGAAATTCATGCATCCGTAAATTTTTTCGAAACCAAAATTGCTCTCGTTTACATTTTCTCGTTCCAATTTTGACAGTTCAACATAATGAGCAGTATTTTTCAGTATATTTTTGACGTAGGCTACGGTTCATTTTGATGAAACACGAGGCCAGAGTTCGCTACAAAAGCGCCAAATGACTGGCAGGATCAGATAGTTGACTGGTGCACGATAGAGAGAACAAGAGGGACGCCGATCCTAGGGAACTCATTGCCACCACACATTAGCACATACCTCACTGTAAAAACCGTGACCCGCGAGAAATCGTGACCTGGAAGACTGCCAGCTGAATGAACAAATCGGTCCTCGTGATCACTGCTGCACGCCTATGTGATGTGGGGTGTTCAGTAAGGTAGCAGACCACGTAGGTGTTGTAGGTCGTACCATGCAAGTGGTAACTGCACAGCATGGACATTAACGGACACCCAACTCTCATATGTAGCTCCCTGACGCGGGACACCGCCTAGCGGCCATAATCCGGTTATTGTCTCGATTTGCACACTAAATCAGTTGATGGTATCATGTGTTGTGTGTCCCCACACTTGGTTATTCCGCTCTGTCTCTATTCCCCGTCCCTCTTTCTCAAAAGTCTTACACCGAGGCGACATGCAACCCCATAGGCGGTCAAGGTTAACGCGGATGGCTCCCCACCAAACAAAGCAGATACCCGCAAATGAGTTCGGAATCAGCGTATGATACCTAAGCTGTCCCCTGCGCGGGAGGAAGAGAGAAGGGCGTCCTAAACAAGGGCTGGGACTGCGTCATCTACACACAGACTGCTACCCTAAAACCTATAACCCAAGGTTGAAAAACCAAACAGGCGACCACACACGTCTCTATGCCTACTGTACCCCACAGAGTGCCCGTGCGAGTCTGCTAACGTTGACAGCTTGGAATGTTTGTTCTCTTCAAAACAACCTGCAGAGCAACCGGTCGGAGGGGAGGCCGCGCAGGTAGTCCGAGAGCTGGCGTGCTAAAACGTGGACATCGTCGGCCTTACCATGATCCGTTTCTCCAAACAAAGTCAAGTGAAGAATGTGGCTGTCAAATACCTCCTCTGGAGCTGCCACCCCAAGGCAAGGCGACATGATGCTGGCGTCACCTTTTCTATACGGAACGATATCATAGAGCGACCGCCCCTTCTACCGCTGGGCGTCGACAATCACATTATGACGCTTACGCTTCGATGATGAAAAGAACAAATCTTACGAGAAACTGCACGTCAATCTGGTGACTGTAATGAAGGCGGGCAAGGTAGTCGATTGTGACAAATCCAACGCCAGCGTTGGAACTGTCCGTGCTGCCTGGAAGGAGGTGCTGGGTCCCTACGGAATCGGCGGCCGTGACGAAAATAACCTCCCTCTTTGCAAGCCTGTGCGGAGTACCGTATCCTGCTTCCCAATACCTTCTTCCGATTTCCGATGCGGAATAGGGCGCCCTGGGTGGCCCGCCACTTGCGTCGCTGTCAGCAGCTGGATTGTATTTTTTGCCTGGAAGCCAGCTCAACTGGACGTATTGGTGACCGAGGCCATCTGACATGAACTGAGAATGAGCTCACGGAAGGATCTTTAAGCTGCTTCCGTAGCTTCTTAAGTCTGTTTTTAAGAAAGTGTGGAACACCGGTGGAAGTTGCATTCGATTTAAACGTCTTCCTTGGAACAAGGTCGAGAAGTCCTTCTGTTACGCACTGTAATGAATTGTTGAAAAGATGTAGATCATTATTTGAAAAAATATTTTGCCAATCAGTAGTGCTTGTAAAATTATTTACTAATTCCTTGTTGTTATTAGCAAAGTCAAAAATGCCACGTTGTACTGTTGGCTTTGCGGAAATGGCAACACGAAGACGACAATGAATAACTACATGACCACTTGCAAAAAGGTCATTATAGAGATACATAGATAGAGGGAAGGTACCATTAGTAAAAATTAAATCTAATACACTATCGTTTCTGGTCGAAGAGTGGACTTATGAAGACAAGTTTGAAAAGTGAATGATATCTAGAAGCTTCTGGAATTTATGGGAGGAAGTATATGTGTGTCGGTAAATTTCTGGCAAAATAAATCGCCTACGATGATCTTGACATCAAACGAAGTCTTTGCAATTTTTTCAAAGAGTTCACAAAGTTTGGTACGAAGATGTCCAATGAGAACGAGTGGTGCATGGAACGTCCGCGGGCAGCGTGGGCAGGTCGGGTGCTGGTTGAACGTCGGCGTTGCAGCATAAGCGCAATTGAGATTTGCGAGCCTAGAGTTTGGCTTTGGCGGCGGCGATTCGGCTGACTTCGTAAATCACTGCACCTGTCTTCAATGTCCTCCTCCAGGTCGGTCGGCCTTGTGAGGGGTCTTCCCAATTGGTCGAGCTGATATGCAGACGACTCAGGGAAGTCTTCAGAGTGCCTTTGTAGCGACGGACTTGGCCTTCTTGTCGATAGGAACTCCCTTCGATATCTCCATAGCAGAGCCGTTTGGGTAGCCGCTCTTCGCTCATCCACACGAGACGGCCGCTCCAGCTCAGTTTCAGCTGTCTCAGCATGGTTTAGGTGCTGTGGATTCTCGTCCGCTCCAGTGCATGCGTGTTCGGAATCCGGTCCGGCCTCCTCAGCTTCAGTATCCCCGAAGACAGCTTAGGTGACAGTGACTGAGTCATTGCGCCTGCCTCTTGTACACCGTCCAGGGTTCGGCTTCATACAACAGCGTCGGTAAGATGACTGCCGTGTAAATCCTCAGTTTTGTGTTGGGGTGGGTACTGTGACGGTCCCAGACAATGTTTTGCAGACGGCCGAATGTTTTGCTGGCTTTGAAAATCCGGCGGGTCACCCCATCGTCGATTTTGGTGTTGCGGGAGACGGTGCTACATAGGTAGGTGAATTTGTCTATGGCTTGCAGCTGGGCGCCTTTCACTTTCGTTTGGGGCGCGACGTAGGCAGCGTCGGGTGGTAGTTAATGCATGACCACCGTCTTCTCCGTGTTGATGACCAGGCTGAAATTGTCACAGGCGTCTTAGAAGAGGTTCATGCTCACTTGCATGTCCCCTTCTGAGGTGGCGTTGAGGGCGCAGTCGTCGGCGAAGAGAAGTTCATGGACGGTCGTTGTGGATACACGCGACTGAAAGTGCATCCTGCGGTAGTTGAGGAGTTGGCCGTTCGTCCTGTATGCGATGCGGATCCCCGGGCGTTCTTAAGGGTAAGCATCCATCAGCATGGCAGAAAACATGAGACTGAAGAGGGTAAGTGCGAGGACCAAACTCTGATTCACTCCTTTGGTCACTGCAAATGCCACTGACGCAGATCCAATGTTTTTGACTCGCGCCATCATGCCGTCGTGGAGCTGACGCACTATCGGAGTGAATCATTCGGGACAGCCAAATTTTTGCATGATTTCCCACAATCCTTCACGATTTACCGTGTCGAAGGCTTTCGTCAGATCCACGAAGACAAACTATACGTGGGTCTGCATCTCCTGACACTTCTCCTGCAGCTGGCGGGTGGCGAAGATAATGTCCGTGGTCCCAAGATAACGGCGGAAGCCGCACTCGTTTCCCGACAGGAGACCTTGTTCCATATGGTTGTTCAGGCTGTTGAGATAGATGCGAGCGAAAATCTTCCTGGCAGGGTGATGTCTCGGTAGTCTTCGCAAAGCTGGCGACTACATTTCCGCTTACAGAGATGGACTATTGTGGCGTCTCTGAAATCCTGCGGGACGTATCCTTGAAGCCACATCCCCAGGAAGAGCGCCGTCAAAAAAAACCATGAGTTGGAGTCCGCGTGCTTGTAGACCTCAACAGGGATTGCGTCCGAACCCGGCGCTTTTCCGCTGGGGAGCTGCTGCAGGCCCTGATGGTTTCGTGGAGAGAGAGAGAGAGAGAGAGAGAGAGAGAGAGAGAAGGAGGTGGAGGTCGGCCTTAGTCACCACTTGAGGCAGACGGGCGATGGCGGCGTTGGAGATGGTGGAGGGACGGTTTAGAACGTTTCAGAAATGCTCAGTCTATTGTTGCAAAATTTGCGTCTTCTCGGTGAGTTGGGGACTACCGTTCGTGTTGAGAAGAGGAGCACCTGCTTTGTTTGGTGAACCGTAGACATCCTTGATTGAGGCGAAGAAGTTCGTCCACTCGTTGCGGTCAGCGTGCCCTTGGATCTCCTCGGCCGTGCGAGCCGCCCAAGCGTCCTGAATCTCTCGCAGCTGCTGTCGTACAAGGTGGTGACTACGGTAGAAGGCTGTTTTGTTGTCGTCGGTGGGGCTTTGTCAAAGCGGTTCTTCTCAGCGAGCGGGTTGCTGATGGTGGCGTCGTTTTCTTTAAACAAGTCCTGATTTTGGCGACGTGCGCATCCGAGGACAGCCAGGACGGTCAACAGGACTCTGTCGCGGAGTTGTCACCATCGGTTCTCCATGTAGGCGTTCTCCTCGATGGCAGCGGCAGCGACGGCGACTGGAAGGTTGGCTAGTCTTTGAGCTAGCTCATTGCTGAAGTGGATATTGTCAGCAGCTAAAGACAACAGAACAATATTCAGCTTACCTGGGGTTCGCTTACCTTGAGGTCTCCTGTGAGGCTGTAGGCGAATACGCAACTTTGAGATGACGAGGCGATGGTTGGTCCACCCATCGGCACCCGGGATCGCCACTGTTACCAGCACGTCCCGCTGATCTCGCATCTGGGCGAGGACATAGTCCAGCAGGTGCCACTGTCGCGGCCGAGGATGCATCCATTTGACCTTCCCTCGCATCGGGGGCGCAGGTTCGTGGGAGGAGCAGACCATCATCATTGGAGCCTTCAAGACCATAAAGACCCAGCACTCCTCTCCGGGCAGCGTGGTCTGTGTCGACGCGGACGTTGAAGTCACCAAGAACAGTTTGCATATCTGCCTTCGGAACAAACGCCAGGAGGGTATGCAGATCGTCGTAGAATTTGTTCTTTACAGCGCCAGGGCTGATCATCGGGGGAGCGTAGACACTGATGATGGTGGCGAAAATACCTCTCTTGAGAGGCAGGCGGAGACTCATCTGACGATCTTTGATGAATTCAGCGGACAGGGCAGTCGTCCCGCAATGCCTCCCGGATGAGAAGGTTGACGCCTACGTCCCGTCGTTCTGTCTTGGGGTGGCCACTTAAGAAGAAGGTGTGGCCGGCACCCATCTCCTCCATTTGACCTTGTTGGGAGAACCGGGTCTCACAGAGTGCAGCGATGTCCATCTTATAGCGCGCCATTTCCCGAGCCACTCGCGCCGTCTTTCGTTCCGGCCAGTTACTCCTGAGAATATCTAAAATGGAACAAACATTCCAGGCTGCCAGAGTGAGCGGACTCACCCTACCAGTCTGGCAAGCGGGGCGGCAGTAAGGAAAAGGGGAAAGAGAGAGTGTGTGTTGTTTTAATTTGATTGTTTCGACCGTGTGTTTTGCGTCTGTAGGCCACGGTCAGCGTGCAGACGACGTGTATCCCGGGATTTTATTTATGGCACCTTTCTAGCCCCAACCCCTCTCGGGGGTAAGCAGTGCTCTCCCTAAATAGGGCTGCTCAGTCATCCCAGACGGCCGCCGAACTCAACTATGGGCCACGAATTGGTTAAACGGTGTGCTGATAAATTAAGCAGAATGGCATTTAGCTTACAATATGGAAGGACACGAATAAGTAGACAAAAAGCAAGCAGAGAAGAATAGCAAACAGCAAAGGCAACACAGACAATTCAACTGAACAGTCTTTAGCTTTCAACGAGGACAAACATAAACGAGCAGACAAATGGCAATCCAGCAGGGGTCACTTATCTTGTGGTCTGCTACGGTGTTGCGATCGGAGCCTCATCTCGGAGATGCCGAGGCGGGGATCCATCTGGCCTGCGGAGCCGAGTTACCGTGTGCGGAGGTGAACACACGGATACTCTCCCCGGATTTGGACCGCCGGTCGAGGCGGTTACCGGGGTGTGATTGCTAGGTAGAGTCCGACTTTGAGGAGCCACATGTGAGAGTTGAATGCCAGTTAATGGACGGTTGGCGCAGTCTCACTTGCAAGCAATTGAGCGACCTACTAAGACCGTCACGTGGACCCCCGACTTGGCACGCTGTGACATGCGCAGACGGGGCCTAGTGCCACATCAGCCATTGTGTCCCAAAACCATCCGCAGTAGCGCTGACCGCATCTTGTGGGGAAGGGTTAAGTCAATGTCGCAAGAGTCATTGCCAGTGGGCGGTCTAACATTCTATTTACCGTCATAACTTGATGTCATTGGGGTGAAATCATCGGCGTAGGTGAGGTCAGCAGGCTAGCATCCAGGCGCAAATTCAACGCCGTCGATAGTATAGAGAACCCTTAATAAGGAGGGCAGGGGAATCCCTCAGCTACAGGGGGCCAGATCGTGTGTGGCATGTGTAGACAGATTATTGAGCAATGTCAGCGTCTTGTGCCCAGTCCTTCCATCAGATGACTGAATGGCTTGGCCAGCGGACTAGTACATGGAAGAAGGAAGAGAGCGTAATGTTAGGTCTAGAGACTACATCTCCACGGCACTTCACCGCATTCTCTATCATAAACAATCTGACATGCTTTTCAACTATTGCGACGCTTCAAAATCGTGGCTCGGGAGGTTCCCAACTGACCGGGTAACTCGGTCCACTCAGTGCAGATAGTCAGGCTGCAACGGCTTGTTCTGAATGTGCCCTCTACTGCACTCCTGCTTGGATAGGTTTTGTTGAAACCTGGCCACCTATGCGCGGACCGGACGTGTGTGGCACGCATAGACGAGCAGTTTGGCTTTGTTGGCCACTGAGCCTGATCCCGACTCCGGTCTTCTTGACCCTGCCTCTAAATCGGGCCCAAGTTCGTGAGGGAGGAGACAGTGCGGCAAACGCTGAGCAAGTCCACTACCAGTAGAAACTAATTTACGCTCAAGTAGCTGTCCCTGCACACACACTCTCACACAGACGATAGTTCGACCGATGTGTTTGACGACGTCCACCGTATGTCCCATAACAGGTGGTGGGAGCAGGGACGGTGACTTGCGCAGGGGTTTATAATGCCAGTAGACTTGTGCTGCATCTACCACATTCTCTCCTCGCCCACCTGAGTCCGGTGTCAAGACATAGTCAAGAATACTGGAGACGAGGGGGGCCGCAGGTGGAGGACTTGGACGGATCCTCACCTTGACGCTCCACTCCGCACCCCCTGGTTCTTTCAACAAATGGCCAGGATTTCGAACCACAAAACAATAGGGTGGTGACAGTGTTCCCAGTTGTACGACGATCGCCGACAACGGGGTCCGCCAGCGCATCCCCTAAATGTTGGCATTTGTTATTGCGCAGAGGTTACGCCTGCCAGAATCCGATGTGGTCCCCGTGTTGGTCCAGCGCATCTAACATGTGGCCCGTTTAGGGGGCACACACACACTACTGTAGGGCACGCGATGGACATCATCGTTTGCAACAATCCAAACAGACATACAGAGACGGACTGGTGGGGGGCTCACCGTGAGGGCCTATCAGAAGTCAGAATTACCTTTCCTTATCACCGAGGCTATTCTCAGGCAAAAGTCCGAAAGAAAGATTGATATGCAAACTACAAGAGTTTGACTTCCTCTATCTGATAAAGCCACCGGGTGGCGGCCGTTGTCGCTGCGTAGAAAAATATTGCTGAAAATTGGCAAAATTGAGAGCTGGCGGATGGGCATGGAGCTGTGGTGGACGATAAGTTGTAAGTAGCAATTACCAAGTAGCATGCGCGAACCCAGGTTTCGAACTGTTACATCGGACGCCGCATCCAGTATGTATACGACACTGGCGCCGCAAGGGTAGGCCAGCCAGTCTGGTCGTTAAACTTTGGACAAACACAGGCTGAGTCAGGTGTTGTTCGTACTTTTGATGGCCCGGCAGCAGATGATGTAACTTCCGGGAGCATCTTGAGCGTCACCAAGTGAAAAATGCTATTGTGCTCGTGAAAATCGTTAAGGTTTTGAAGCAGGTCCCACGTGGTCAGCATACTTTCGTAGGCAGAAGCAGAATCCCGTTTCGTACAGTCCGAGTGCGTGGTGTTCCAGAAGGGTTGGTATTCTGACGACAGTTCGGCCGTTGCAAACCCCGTTGCCCATCACATACCGCGCAGGGACATCGACTTGCGCGTGAATAAGTTTACAATGGTGGCGGACTTTCGCTGAGTCTACCGCAGTATCTCCTACTCCTCCATCTCCTCCTCCCACTACTCCTCCTACTCCTCCTCCTCCTCCTCCACCCACGGGGGTCCGATGGCAAGACAGAGTCAGGACGGCCGAAAGCGAATTCGGGCGCAGGGGTTGACGAAGCCAAAAAACCATCTACACGTGCCATACACGCTTGGCCAGCGCAGGATGGACACTTTTGCCACAGAACAAGGGGCGCCTCGGGTCCCATCTGAGTGGGAGCGTCATACAGGCCACATTCAGAAGAAGCCATTGCTGCCTGGCTCTTCGTCCTTACAGGACCGAGTTGCCGTGGCAGTTGACGGTCTTCCAAGTCCCGACTTTTAGCGCGTCGTGATAGCTTCGAAGTGTGCCAGATTCGTTATACCGAGGACTATGCGTTGAGTGCCTTGGAGCCGCAGTCTCCAGAGTCGATCTCACTCTCTCTTCCTTATCACAGGCACCAATCCATTGTCCGAGTCATCTGCTGCAGAGGTTATGCGAAGGTTTCTGACGCGAAGTGGGCCTGCGCATAGGTGTGCCCCCTCTTTGAGTGGCATTTGTTATGGATCCACAGCCAAAATAATGCACATTACACCCTGGTCTGACCCCCGTATTGGCTCGGCGCAACGCCCGCGTAGGGGACATTTCTAAGGCGTGTGTGCAGCTGCTTTTACTCCCATTGGGCCAGCCCTGTAGCTACCGTCTTTAGGGTGACCTATTTCGATTTGTTTGTCTATCATATCCTGATGGTAGTCACTGTGTAACCAGTCTATAAACACTTGTTGCGCCCGCGAATTTTATTACATTCCCTTCAGCTGCTTCTTCGCGTTTATCGCAGACCCTTAGTGGGCAAGCATGATGTACGGCTGTGATTCAGGCGTGCTTCGGAATACTCACCTCGGCAGCCGCGTAAGACAAACTCGCAGTTGGAACTTTGCGTCATTGTTCAGAAGGTCTACTTTTTCGTCAGCATCTACTCCTCAGAAATCTGGGCACTGTGAAATGGAGGATTACACTGATGACAGCGACAACCACGACGATTGATGATTATACTTACCAAATGGAAACAACATTAATTAACATTCAATCAGAAGGCGAGCCATTTTGCAAATTAAAAGGTGGCATAACGGCCGCAGTACGAAGGAGCCACTACAGTTCGATCTCCCGGCACACAGCAGGACCAGATCATTTCGTCAGCTGGCAATTTTCATAGTCACGACTTTTAGCGCATTTGGGTAGTTTCAAGCACGTCAGATGTATTATTGCCGAGTAGTTCTGCATTGCCATGAAATATCCTACTCCAGTACCAACTTCCACTTCACTTACGCCATCCATGCACCAGTGGCCAATCCGAATCAAACCAACTGCAGATGGTATCGGATGTGAAACCTATCTAACGCATGCTAAATGCTCAAGTACTCATGATATTTCTTCCGTCCGAATGATGTCAACAAACTCCCTGGTATGACTGGCGCAATAAGCCGGTCGTTCAATAGGTCATAAAAGTTCAGACGCATGTGCGCTGGCGTATTTTGTTAGTGAACCAGTCGCAGAAACATGAACCAGCACCTGTCGAAATAACGTGAGGTTAACTGTGAGTATGGTATTTTAACAGGAAACCGATTGCCGACAGACCTACCCTTCGTCACTGCTTAGGCAAAAAGCCCTATTTAACACTCGGATCAGAGTTGAAAGGACATGGCAGGTATGCGTGGTGTGAAAATCAACCATCTGATTCAACAGAAAGGAATCGTTGGTCCTGCTAACAAAGGATTCAACGCCTTCCGACACTATTTTGGCGGTTAATGTGGTGTTTTTGGGAGGAATGAAACTTAACCCTACTTATTTACATAAGGGAT